TCGATGGGGCTCCATTATCCATCATCTCCCACTCCAACACAACCTGTCTTGTGTACATTAATGTGTACATATACCAAAGTAGTTCTCATCTCATCTTCAAAAATTTTTTAAAAATTAGGTAACCAGGCAACTGATTGCCGTTGGTAACTGACTGTCTTTGGTAGTTGACTAGGAAGAAACTTTTGAGGGTCAATTTTGCTCGCTACCAATACATTTTTCAGAGAGCCCATCTCTCACATTTGATAACCTTTCCTAACAAAGTCCAAAGCATACCACATTTCCAAACCATGCTACACATGTTGAAAGCTTCAAGACTACGAACAAGTTCAGATGCTTTCAAATACAATTTTCCCCTCTTGCACCATTTCCGTCATTATGGCAGATCAGCAAAACCATACGATTTTACAAAGTTTGATCCACAAACCAACCCCAATGAAGCATCTGCAGTGTTCACCAGTCTAGGATGGTATTTCATACCTCTTAAATACAATACTCATAAACAACCTCGCTTGCAGTTGGAGGAGGAGTTTGTGCGTAATCACTTCACCAATACCACAAACCGCGAAGAGGTGCAAGAGTTTATCTATGATTGGTGTCGTGGACATATTCCTACTGTCCATAAAAAGAAAATGTCTTTCAAAAGTGAATTGGAGCAGAAGAAATTGGACTTGTTGTTTCGCCAACAGATGAGAGATGGAGTAACGAATGAAACGGTGGATAAAGAATTTAGAGATGCACAGAGGCTCAAAAACAAGGCCAACGCTCCAAATGAAAAGTTACGATTCCGAATTGATCCTACAACAAAGAAGGTTGAAATTAGGGGGGCCTTGAAAATGACAAGTGTGTTTAGTTACTATGTACTGACACGGGGTCGCCAACCGGATAGCGAACTGGAAAAAACGCCATTGACTTCGAGACAGCTTCGACAAAACGCCACCAAACAGTGGAGTAAACTATCCCCAATGGAGAAGAAAGCAATAAAGCAGGAGTATTTGCAACTTTTGTCAAATGGGAAGGATCTATATTACGGCAAAGAAGTTAGTCTTGAGCTGAGATTGAGTGATGAGATTCTGGAAGACGGATTTAGGTATAAAAAACTGAAAACTTTGACCAGAGATAGTGAGCCCATATGAGAACCTGCGAGGTTGTAAGTACGATTGAAATGTTAGAAACAGTGTTACTATTTATCTTGTATAAAGTATAAACGTCATCATATAAGATGCAAAATTCAAAATTCAAAATTTATCAAAGAAATGCGAAACGACTTTCATCACAACACATAACATCCGTGCACAAGGCATCAAAGATACGTGAATGTTTGTACGACATGCCAGGTTCAATGTGTCTAGATTTACCAGGTCTCACTTCTCTACTCTAGCACAAACGAATGGACAAGCAAAGGTTGCACCTGACAATACAAAATCTGTTGAAAACCCGTCTGAAACTAAAACAACCTCCCCCATAAAGCTATCACGTCAAGATGTTCAAAAGTTCTATACTCTTTTCAAAATGTCAGAATTCAGCCAAACCATGACACACGAGGACAAGTTGAGCAAGAGTTTACGATTATGGTCTCGCAAAACGCGTAAAGAGCATAATAGCATACGTGTTGCATTGGAGATTATCATCAACGAGGCAATAAAATTGAACAATGCAGCTAATAGCTCTGAAGAATTGAAGCAGGTGCCTTTGAATGATGACGCGCGGGAAGTGGATCGAAGAGATGACGTGATCGAAGCATACAAGAAACCAAAGTATAGGTACAACATGACATCAGGGACGAGACAGCTCAAATTTGGAACACCAGAAATGAAAATACGAAGATATTTTCAGTACTTACAACTCCAGCAATACAAGACGGATCATACTGAACAAAGCTTAGATGTGGTCACCAAAGCCAAAATTGTTGCCAAAGCGAATAGAGAGTGGAGACATGTATCTTCATTTGAGCGATATGTTTTGAAAGTCAATTACGAAAACTTGCTTTTCAAGGGCAAGGATATTAGTCAAGATGGCGAGAGTATAGTTCCCGTGGAAGAGAGTGAAGGGTATGATGGTGTTGTCCATAAGATTCTCGGTGAAGTTGAGCCTGGGACTGAAGGCAAGAAAAAAAGGAGGATACCACTTTTGAAATTGATTTTAAATGAAATGACGGGGTATGTGCATGTTCATGGACTTTGTGAGTTTCATGTGTGGAATTACTACTTGGGAAGGGAGTGTGTTTCCAGAGTCGGTGTTGGCGATATCATCAAATGTGAGAATGTTTCTGAAGTAATTGATCAAATTGAAAAGGAGTGGATTGAAATGACTGTTTCACAAAGGAATAACATCAGAATGGAATATATGAATATGCTATCTCGAGGCAAAGACTTACTTCATGGAAAAGTTGTACCAATTGAAGAGAAACGAGATGCAATTGACAAACCAAAGCAGTACCTTGTTGTTCGAATCCGAGGTGATTCTAGTTCATTCAATATTTTCGACTGCGAAGTTTCGCCAAGCAAGTTTACAATTACCCAGCCATCCAAATTGCGATTTATCAAGAATACATTCGTGGGCAACACAATTGTTGTTGGGGATTTAAATTTGGTACATGCATGGAACTATTTTGTTTATAAACAACAACAACAACAACAACAACAAAAGGAGCCACAGCATGACGGTGTCTATGATGCAGTACAATTGCAGCAAGGCTTGATGCGCCAATGGAATGAACAGCTGGATGATAAGAAAAAGCAGCAATACTTACAAGAATACAAATCATTGTTGGTGTCGGGACACGACATTTACATGGGTGAAAAAGTGCCTATTGAAACCAAAATGGCTAAAACAGGGGTCAAGAATTTAGTTGTAGATGTATGGGGACAGCCAATCACGCTAGGAACTGGTGCTAACGTAAAGGTTGCTCCGTTACCAATAACGATCGATGAAACACATGACAAGGTGTTGGTGTTGAGCGATATTGCTGATGTGCATGCATATAATTACTATTTGGCAAAACAGTTGCAAGAGCATAGCAGTCAAGGCGGTGGTGAGGGTGGCCTTGATTATTCGTTGATACCTCGATTTCAACAAGAATGGCTTGAGTTTACGCCCGATCACAGACGTATTTACGCTGACGAATATTTGCAATTGTTGAGCAGTGGGAAAGATTATGCATTTGGTAAAATCGTTCCAGTTGCAAATAAATTGAAACTCTCCATCTATTCCAAACCACTGAAGCTAGTTGGCCCCGGTACAAAATCTGCTTTTTATCCAGTGACTAGTGCAGGAAAGGCTCAACTAGCAAAAAGCAAAGAAGGGGTTATTGTTTTTGATGATAAGATCTACGCAAATGCACTCCCATACTACATGTATTCACGCAAGGCTGTGGATACTACTGCGATTGATTCTAGCCAGATTGTTGATGAATGGACCGAGATGTCCGATAAAGAGAAGTTTGAAGTGCAAGAGGCATACGACATGATGGTTGATGCGGGGTTTGCAATGGTGAATGGAGTGCTTAAGGATATGCGACAAGAGGAGGATATGTAAAGGGGAGATTCATGACAAGGACAAAGAGAGAGAGAGAGAGAGAGAGAGAGAGAGAGAGAGAGAGAAAAGGAGTTTGTGAGTATTTGAACGAAGGTGGGATACCCATCGTCTTTCCCACCAATCGAGATGATGATGTCATTTGTTGAGGTGAATGCAGTAAAAAAAATAAGAAAAGTGTCACAAGAGTGTTATTCGGAACAATCGAACAATAGTGAAGCGGGTAAAGTCGTGACAGATTAAAAACCAGGGTTTAATAAGTAGAATAGATGGAGAAGGAAATAGATTAGCGACAAATAAGATATCGTAATGACGCAACTGTACAATTATCTATAGTGTAGATCCAAACTCAAAGAAGAGAGGGTTTTATCCAGTTGTATCGTGTCACGTGCAGAGTTGACTATGGTATACAAATTATAGGTTGTGAAAATATTTTGATTGTTGTTGTAATTACACAAAATTTATTTTAAAGACCTCGGTTGATGGGAAGAAGCTGTTGAAAGGTCGTGTAGGTGTTTACACAATGTCTCTATCTTTGTCTCTCCGCATTTTGTTTTCAGTAGAAGAAAATTATACTGAGAATTGTCACGATGTACACTACCATGTATTTTGAGAGGTTGCTAGCCAAGATAATACACATATATATGTATATATATATATATATACTAACAGCAAAAAGTTGCTGAGAAAGGAATACTAGTTCCTTTGAAATGATAAGTTGATGATGACTTCAAGATGAAGATATTGATATTGATATATTGAATGAGTGAATATTATATTTCCTGTTTTTCTCTTTTGCGTATAGCTTCTCTTCTCTGTTGTTTTGTCTTGTCTTTGTCAGAGAGAGATAGAGAGCGAGAGAGACGCACTTGATAATTTTTTTTTTACTTTTTTTTTATTTTTTTTTGACTACTTATTTTAACCAACCAATAGTTTAATTTTTGAAATTCAATTTTCACTTCCTCTTTCTTCCTTTCTTTGTAAGAACTACATTCTGTACTGATAATTTTGCTGTTTCCTTGTTATTCAGCCTAATCTCAAGCATTTCCTAAGAAATCCTTCATACATCACCATCGTCATCTTCATCATAAAATGGTTGCTGATACTATCATTTATCACCCAACATTAACCAAATTGGTTAAATTCTGGGATTCAACTCCAAAAAGAGAAAAGTCCTTTAGATTATTAGCCTACTTGTCACGTTTCTTGTCTTACTATGCCTACAGAAAAGGTTACTCAAAGGAAACCATAGATATGTTCAAAGGTCTCAAAAACCACTTTTCATTCATCAGAAAAGGTATGAGATTCTTTAAGCCAATTCCTCATTTACAAACAGCTGCTAAAGCTTATGACAACCAATTGATGGATCCTGTTTTGCAAGCTACTACAATCATTAGGAACTTGGGTTATGCTGGATACTTGACTATTGATTCAGTCGTATTTGCCAAGATGTTGGGTCTTGTTGATTCCAAGAAATGGCCAAACTTGTCCACCTATGCCAGTAGATTCTGGTTGTTGGGTTTGGTTGCTGGCATCATCCACTCATTGAGAATTATCTCCCAATTGTCTGGCTACAAGCGTGATTCAACAACTGTAGCAACCGATGAAAAGGCCAAGATTGATGAAAAATCAATTTCCAAACAATTGTATCAAGCCAAGAGAAAATTGGTTTGGGACTTGTTGGATAGTTTTATTGCTTTGAACACCTTGAACTACTTGCACTTTACTGAGGGTGACGTTGGTTTGGCTGGTGTCCTTACTTCTCTTTTTGGATTGGAAGATATGTGGAAATCAACCACCGTTTAAGGGGCGGAGCAAGTATCACACATAATTTTCCAACTGTAAAATGCGGAAAGAGAGAAGGTGTTAGAAGAATAGAGAGAGAGAGAGAGAGAGAGAGAGAGAGAGAGAGGGCCATAATATTGAATTCAAATTAGAGACAAAATCCCGAATTCAAACATGATGCTCATGGGTCNCCTTTCCGGAAGAAGTGGGTGAAGATGGCTTGAGTTTATATATACGTGGGCAATAGAGTGTTTACCAATTCTGTTTCAATTTAAATGGTCGTTATAGATACTTTTGCCTCAAGAAAAGATTGTATTATGAGATGCAAGCTATCGTAGTGAAGCACTTTATCCCTGTACACCTCCATTTTCATCAGCTTCCTCCACTTCCTCCAGGTCGAGCCTCTTTACCCATTTCCGCTTCTCGTAGTTTATCATTTAGTTCAAATCCCGCCCAATAATACTTAATGAGAAGATTCTTCAACTCTTTAGTCAAGTCTTGCCCATTCTCTTGAAATTCAATTAGCTGTACTAGATTGGGAGCGTCAAGACTTATGTCAATACCTTCACCCGGTGTAATAGATTGACTCTGATGTAGTAATTGCAGTTGCTGTTCTTTTTGCTGCTGTTGACTGATTTTCGACTCCAATTTTTGCTTCTTTTCGAGTATCCTCTCATCTGGCGTTAAATCTTTGAGTCTCGTGTATTCGATATAAGAGTCAATCCACGCAATGTTGACCTCATTGTCTAGAGTTGCCATTTTTATAAGCGTGTTGATGTATAACCGGTATTCTATGGTGATGGTGTGGTGCCTCAGATTGTCCAAAAGAACAACTGTCTGTTTTGTGATTCACATAGGACATCTCTTCGTAATATTTTTTTTCTTTATTTTTTTTTTTTTTTTCCTTTTCGACTCCAATTCACATCATCTCCTTTATTCACACCAACACCATTCCGATTATGTCTGATTTGAAAGAATATAGAATACATATAGGGAACATATCACCAAAGCTCAAGGATAATAGTAATCTCTTGGAACAGCGAATAAGAAAATTCGACATTGACATCAAATTACCATTGGAATTCCATACCAAGCCAATTGAAACGAAATACTTTGCATACACCACTATCCTTGCATCTTCAGCAAATTTCAGCAAATTGAAAGCCTCACTTCATGGTGTTCAATTCATGGGATTAAAACTTACTATCTCGATAGCTAAACCATCATATCAAGAGCGTTTTCACACTATACTGCAAAGCAAACTAAAACAATTGCGTCAAGATGAACTCAAACAGGAAAAGATTGCAAATTCAAGACTTGATAGGATACGTGAACTACACACAAGCTACCCCACCAACCCAATCACTTCAACCATAGTCACCACCCCAAAACCATCCACATTCTCACTCTCACAACACATATTCAACAATACATCAGCCAACACCAAAAACCCACCACCAACCCACAGACTCAACGGGTCCAAATCGTACGGAGCTACCCTAGACAATTTGAATTTTAAATATCGTAATGGATCAGCCCATTCCGTTGTCAAGGGAGCTCATCGTCGTCATGCAAGAAAAGATGTACGACTGCAAACCTTGCGGATTTTGGTCAATGGCGAATTGAAAAATTTCAAATTCTACAAAACGAAATTGTGGGGGGTAGAGAAGAATAAAACGGTGAGGGATATGACGTGGAGGTATGATGCGAAAATGGGGTGGAAGAGTGGCGATGACCATTTGATTGAAGGGGTTGCTAAGAAAACATGTGGGATTAATGGTGAGCAGGCGTTGAGGTACGGTGAGGGCGTCGTGGCACATGGTGTTGAATCTAGTAGCAAGTCTCATCTAGCAACAAGCGAAGTGAAGGGTGAGGATGGAGACGACGAGATTTATCAGGAGACTAGCAAGAATAAAGCAATTTTGGCGTCGTTATTGACAAACTATGATTTTGGTAAACCTGTGGATTTAGAAGAAGATAAGGACATCGATAAGGATGAGATTGAAGTTGATTCGAAGGGGCGTAAGACGGTGAAACATTATGATTACGAAGTGGAAGGAAAAGCTGGCGATGAAGATGATGAGGATGAACCTAATGTTGGCTATAAAGTGAGTGGCAACTTTGATATGACTTCAGTGTTGAAAGATGAGGAGTTGGTGAAGCCTATCAAAGAGGTCTATTATGATGAGGATGATGAAGGAAATGATTTGGATTTTGATACTTTGAAACCTATGCGTACAGTGGAGGAAGAGTATGCAGATTATAGACAAGAAAGGCCAGAAGATGTTGATCAAGAAACCGCACAACAGCAGAATATCGTTGATGATGAGGATGAAGAGGATAACGAGTTTATGCCCACTTTTGGTACGCATAATTGCAACAATACAGAAACACTTCGTTCCTTATTCAACCCATCTACTTCAGACACTCAGCCCCAACCACAACAATCAACTTTCAAACTAGCACTATCGGATGACGATCACGATATTGATGAGACGAAAATAGGAGAAAGAGATGAGCAACGACAGCTATTGAAACAGATTCAACAACGTAAACACGAGGAGTTTGCTCAGAGTCTACAACAACAGCGTCAGAATCAATTTGGCTTGTTCTGGCCCCATTTCGACTCCCCCTTCTTATCGACGCAGTCTCAATTGGCCAAGATTGGTAATATAGCAACAGGGGATTCTGGGTTTTCCTTACCGCTGATGAACAATGGCTCTTCTGTTGATGCGATCGACGGCGCTGGTGGTGGTAGCGTTGAGAAAGAAGGTGAAACGGATTATGAAAAGTGGTTCTGGTCGGTGCGTGGTGAATTTACTCGTGAGTGCAAGAGGCGTAAACGTGATTTGATGCGGATTATGCGAAAGAAGAGAAACTAGAAGATGTAAATGGAGTCGTACGAGGTAAGATCTTTTGTAAAATGTGCAACAACGATCAATAGTAATTTTCAAAAGACATGCTAGAGATATACACAATACTGCTGTAACGCCTTCTCTCATATAGTTGACGCGATTTCTTTGGAATTCGAGTTTACATCATGAACATTGTAAACAAGAATGGATTGAAGTGGTGTGTGTGTGTGTGTGTGGATGTGGCACCCTGTCCAAAGCCTGCTTTGCAATGGAATATACCGATTGCAACTTCATTCTGCACAGTTGCATGATGAATAGTTAACCAAAAAATGTGGCACCTCATTGTCGGGTTTGCTGTTACCGAGCACGTGATCACAGGAGTTTAAATGGAAACATGCGTAGCTCCCAATGAATTGAAGAGATGTATCAACCAAGAGAGTTGTTTGACAAGGCATTCGCAACTGTAGCAAGGGTATCAGAGGTGTTGACGGGGGATTCTTTACGATTAGGAAGGAGCCCACCCTCGGAAGTCTCAAAACTGTGTTGACTGTTTTCCGAGTCAATCAATCACAATCCGGGTTTTGTGTAACTTAATTGAACAATAAAGAGAGATGTCTAAGTGTGGCTCATCACTAAATCATATGAAAAATGGTCAACGTTCAAAGGTTGGGTCGTATATATATATTTAAAGGAGAACAAATTCCCAAGTTCTGTTAATCAAGTTTGCCACTACCTTACCTTACAAATGACAGACAAATCAATTGCAATCATTGGTGCTGGTCCAGGTGGGTTAGCTGCCCTTTACGAGTTCCTACACACCAACGCTGACGGCACATCAAATTTAACCGACGCAACAAAGACATACAAGGACAATATCCCCCTTGGAGATGCGTTCAAAAACATTGTTGTGTTTGAGCTGAAGGATAAAGCCGGTGGGATCTGGGCTCCAGCGACAGAAGAAGCTGATTTGCCAGTCCCACCACAACACTTGCTTCATAAAGTCAATGACCCACATACTATCAAACCGACCAATGTGCCACCGGAGGGGATCAAGACTGCTACTTTGGAGAACCCAATTCATGTTGAAAACGAAGCTAATTACAAGGGAGGCAAGACGTATCATGGTCCGTTGATAAATGAGTTGGAATGGAGCAGATCGGGGATTTTCCCATTTTTGTTTACAAATATCCCAACTAGATTCACTAGGTACTCGTATTTGCCAATCACTCATAACGATAAATCGAGAAGCATTTTCCCGTTCTTGACGCATCAGGAGTTGAGTGAAAGGTTTCTGGATTTCATCCAGGACAATGAGTTGGGGAAGTACATTAGGTTGAACTCTCCTGTTGAGAGGGTGGAGAAGGAAGGTGACAAGTGGGTGGTTACGGTTAGGAAAAAGGATGGCAATAAGAGTAGTTGGTATAGTCAATCATTTGACTATGTTGTGGTTGCTAATGGCCACTACACCTTGCCTTATATTCCCAACATCCCCGGCTTGGCTGACTACAACGAGCGTTTCCCCGATAGTTTGATCCATGCCAAATCATTCAGACATCTTGACGAGTTCAAGGATAAGCGTGTATTGGTAGTTGGTGGAGGTATATCCACCGTCAATATTTTACAGTACGTTGTCCCCGTTGCGAAATCCGTCACCAACTCCAAACGTGGTCCAAATGCGATCTTCCCATATATCAATGATGCGCTCATTTCGGAACCAATTGAACCAAAAGGTACTATTGATCACATTGATGGTGAGACTGGGGAGTTCCATTTCACTGATGGGTCAGTTGGGGCTTATGATAAAGTGATTTTCTCAACTGGGTACCACTACCATTTCCCATTTTTCCCAAACAATGACCATTTCAAGTTGATCAATCCGGGTAACTTGAGTAGAGTTGATGGATTGTATCTCAATACATTTGACCAACACGACCCAACCCTTGGAGCCGTGGGGATCACCGTTTCCCAACTCAATTTCCATACGATTGAAGCCAGTGGAGCTGCATTGGCTGGAGTATGGTCTGGTGCAAAGAAATTACCCTCATTGAAAGAACAACAAGAATGGGAACAGAATTTGGTTGCTGAACGTGGTAATTCTTTGATTTTCCATTATTACAATCAACACACTGCTAAGGATTTCATCGATGCTGTTGCTCCTTATTTCCCCAAGGGGAGATACAATCCACTTGATGTTGATGGTCCGTTTGTGGGTGAAGTAGATGAAGGTGCTAATCAATTGGAGAAATTGTTTTATGGATTGAAAGAGGGTAGAATTAGAATTGAGGAAACCAATCCGTCTTATAGAGGCAAGAGCGAGGAGGGGAAGAAAGGTGAGACAAAGAAAGTCCTGACTGAGGTTACGATTGAGGAAACTGGCCCTATTCCAGCCTAAAGAGTACAGATATTTTAGATGTGTAAGTTGTAATACAGGATTGACATTTCAAATGATCTTTTCTAACTTGTTTAGTATATTCTACACCCCTTCTTTTCAAGTCATGTCTATTGAGGTTTCATCTCCCAGCCGATCCTTCAGGAAACCCTTTCGACTCCAGCATAAACTTTTGTACTCTTGCATACACAAATCCAGGATGCACAAGTACCAAAATGGCACACACAATCAACATTGGCGCAGCATCGAAAATGTATGCAAAGACAGCATGGTTAAAAATGTATTTACCATAACCTTGGCCATATTCAATCAATCTGAAAACGTTTCTAATGAAAAATAGCACTGCGATGACATACAACGCTTTGAAGTAACTTTTCCAACAATAATACCCTTGCATTGTTGCTTGAATTACAGTTGTGTTGATTGTTCGATGGCCTGAAATTACCAAAGCGATAAAACAGCAAAAGGAGACAATTTGTATGATAAACCCCGTGATTATCAATCCTTGACCTAGTGACTTGTTGTCTTCAATCATCTGTAGAACAACACCAGCCACTTGAAGACCAAACGATGCTATATCACCAACGATGAATAAGAAAGATTGAGCTTTCCGATTGAAGCCAATCTTGTCAATTTCTAAGTTCTTCAATAGGCCACTAAATGAGACGTACACCGATGCCGCGATAAATATGGGTGCAATAATGACTTGGACACTTTGAACACCGTTTCCGGCACTGTTTTGGAAAAATGCAGTCACTTCTAAAATGATTCCAATGATTAACCATAGCATAAGCCAGGACCGTTTCCAAATCATTAGCACCGCATGGAGGACTAGCAAAATGATGAAGCAAACACCGAAAAATACTGATACGCCTTTTGAGCTCTTGATGCCGTCACTTGACATTGCCAAAAGTCGGCAAATCCAAGTTGAAGAGTAAAGGGGAGTTTACTTTTATTAGGAGAAGCTACATTGGCCTCTCAAGGAAATGGGGATTATTTGTATGTGTCCATCGCAACCTATAGCAGGCTGTGTCAAGTACAACAAATGAGTGTATTAATCATTATTGCTCGGAAAATTTTTGAATTTCAATACCCAATATATTTTATTTTTTTGCATTGTTCCGTGTCTGTGTTAGCAGCCATTTCAAGAATAAGGGAGCAAAACCTTTAGGTAGGAGGAGTAAAGCCACATTATCCGCCGCGAGTTCTAAAAATAACACACCTGGTGTGGCTGTAGCTTAACTGTCTCCTTTTGAAATCATGTCGTGGAAGTGGCTTTGCAAAAGGAAGGGCTTGTGTAATCGTAAATACCACTTTGTACAAACTCTCCCCCCTGCAAGTTTTCTTCCGTAAGAGAAGACGAGTCGACTGTCAACTCTATGGCATGAGTGCTTTAATGGAACTAATTTGATTTTACAGCTACAAAGAAATTTAGAAAAAGCTAGTTAAGGTTTCAATAGTAACGTTTTTTGATGAGATCTCGGATTTATTCAAGGCTTTTTACCAATTGTCTTTTGTGTCAATTGCAAAAACAAAAAAACATAAACATTGAGAAATTCTATAATTAGAATACGGGTGTGTCCGTTATTGAAATGAGGATGCCATGAATGCCGATGGCAAATACTGCAGGTACATGTGAGTCAATCATTGAATAGAAATCAAAGTGATTGTGACCATACGTTGCATGGGAATGACAACAAGGGCAGTTTCAAGGTCTTGTGTGTAACAGAGTGTGTGAAAGAATCCCAAAAAAAAAACTTAATTAGGTTATTTTCATTGACATGATCTAAGTAATAAGCTAGTTGCGATAGGACCAAAGGGATTGTGTGTAGATCATCCCGAGTTGTCTGTATTGTTACATAGAGAGAAGAGTATGTACCCTTTGCCACAATCAAGTGTATCCCTGATACTTTGATTGCTAGACTACTAGCTAGCATTTGATGATAATTATAATAAGAGAGATATATACTATACCGGAGTTAACTCGGTGATAAGGATTATTTTGTACATAAACAGTGTTACTAATTCAATCAATAAGAAATACTAATTTTTTGTTTTTTTTCTGTTTTTTGTTTTCTTATCAGAATAATACACACTATGAGCCACAATAGTTTAAGCTCAAATGTTAAAGTAAATATTTATAAAGTGTGGCTTGGCTGGAGGGCTCAGTAAGAAATAAGTTATTCCAACCAACTTGCTTTTGCATATATATATACATACATGTGTGTGTGCATGTGTGTGTGTGTTTTGTGGAGAATCAAACATATTGATATCTGTATTTAGACTAAAATTGAAGGTCTATTAAAGGCACAGTAAAAATATTAAAATATTGGAGAAATAAATGAAAAAAAAAAAAACAAAAAAAAAAAAACACTAAATCATCTGAGAAAGACATTTCAATAGGCTATAGGGGTGATATAATATCATCCTCCCTTCCCCTTTTTTTTTTTTTTTGGTTGTTTCTAATCTACATACATACAAGTATAGAATCCTAGAATCTATCTAATCTACATCTCTCTTTGTTGTTGTACAGTTAATGTTTAGAAAAATATTTCAATTGCATTAATTATTTTTCACTTTTAAATTTCTTTTTTTCTCTTTCTTTTTCTTTTGTTTTAGTTGAAAGATGTTGTTTAACTATTTTAAAGGCAATGAATCATTATTATTATTATTATTCAACTTATACAATTTAACTATACATATTATAACCAATTACTACAGTCAGTAGTAGTAGTAGTAGTAGTAGTCCTTTCAATTTGACACAGTATTACAGCAACAGCAACAACCTCAACCTCAATCTAACTTAACCTGGATTACACTCACAATCAATTAGTCAATCAATCAGTCAGCCAGTCAGAACTTGGATCTTGAAGCGCACAAGTCTTTTGTATATTTCAAGTTTTCAGTCTTCACTTTTTTTTTTTTTCCTTCTGGAAACATTCGGCAACCAACCCCAAGTTCTTTTCATTTCAACAGGAGATTATACTTCCTCAACTATAACCACTACATATTCACTCCCAGCACCACTCACACAGTATAGACCTTCACTTCCTTCCTTTTGCAGTATGCACACAAACAATAACAACAACACCATCCATATACCAAACTCACCCTTGTTCCCACCACTGCAGTTAAACACTACAACAACATCATCTACTCACACCATCAACAACAACATCAACAACAACAACAACAGCAGTAGCAACAGAGACTCATCACTGCACTCATTTCCTGCTTCTTCTTCTTCATCTTCTTCTTCTCCTCATCATCAGGTGTTTTTGCCCACACTTCCAGAGAAACCAACAACAGCCACTTCTTCTTTAGCTGCATACATAATACCATCAGAACCAGTACTATTTGTTCAAGGATTTGAACCTCACGACTATGAATCTCGTCCACCAACGTTACTAAGAGGATCACTTTACATACGAGTGTTCAAACCAACAAAAATCAAATCAATCACACTAAGTTTCAAAGGAGTACAACGAACTGACTGGCCAGAAGGCATACCTCCGAAAAAGAATGTTTATAATGAAAATAATGACATTGTAACCCATACGTGGCCATTTTTCCAAGCGTCAACAACATCTGCACCTATCCCTAACAATGGCGCTGACATTTTCATTGAAAAGAATGGAGAAACACGGCATCAAAGTTCGTCATCACCTGCAGATGATGTGAGAGCGTCGAGGTCAAATACACCTCCACCTATTGCACAGCAACAACTACTGCATAGATCATCGACCGGTGGCTCTTCAATTGCGTCATCTGCCCATCATCATAATGACAATTTCTTTACGAGAAACTTGTCGCCTAGCTTTATGAGAAGATCCAAATCACCAGCTCCCAATAGTGACACATCTGCTCCATTCTCCGATTTGACTTCTATTGTTTCTCCTTCCACCAATGATGCAAATTCAAGCATGCAATTTGTCCCTGGAGACTACTTGTACAATTTCGAACATCCATTACCACCTTCAATTCCGGAGTCTTGTAATGTTACATTTGGAGCTACTAGTTACCATTTGGAAGTATCTATACAAAGACCAGGTGCTTTCAAATCCAACATGTCGGGTAGGTTACCCATCACCATTGTTCGTACACCTTCTGAACTCAATATGGAGGAAAACGAATCCATTGTCATATCTCGAGATTGGGAGGATCAAATCAAGTATGATATTGTCATTGGAGCTAAATCAGTGGTGCTTGACTCGTATTTACCCCTAGCATTCAGATTCGTTCCATTGTTTGGTAAAGTTGCCCTACATCGTATTCGAATTTACTTGACAGAAAACTTGGAGTATTATTGTTGTAACAAGAAAGTACATCGAATGGAACCAGTTAAAAAGTTTCTATTATTGGAGCACAAGGCAAGAAAGGGGAGATCATTGTTGCAAAAGAACCCGCAAGATGAATCGACCGTGGGGTTGGATGAATATGATGAAGACATTTTACCTAAGGAGTTGGAGTTTCAACTATTTGTCCCCAGTACTGTGATTGGGCGTCTGAATTCCCAAATTCATCCCGATACCTCATATGAAAATATTCAAGCTCATCATTGGATCAAAATATGTCTTAGAATAAGTAAGATGGACCCTGAAAATCCTGGCAAGAGGAAACATTACGAAATTTCAATTGATTCACCTATACATGTCTTGTCACCATTAGCTGCTCACAGCAACACTTTGCTTCCTGCATATGATGACTTGATTGGTACTCAGCAAGAACAACCACAATCACAATCACAATCACAATCACAAGCTGGCGAATCAGAAAGATCCCCATCGCAAAACCCATTATCGCCTGATGTGATACCCGTTGATGGTAATATTACTAGACCAATTGAGTTTCATCACATTTCGACCGATATGGATGTGGGTGCCACTGAACGTGATGCCGATATGCACTTGGAGGCAAATTTGTACAAACCCAAAGATGAGCTGACTATAACCACCATCAACTCACCACAAGCAAAGCCACATCCCGACACGTTCTCCTCACCGTTGGCATCGCCAATTCAACGACCAATACATTTGATTAGAAAACCATCAACGGCGCCACCCCCTTTTGAAGAGAGCGCAAAACTGCCACCAGTGATGTCGCTACATCCTCCTGCATATGGAGACGTGGCACATCGCCGCAACGAAAGTGTCAGCGGGAATGGTGATGGCGATCACAGTGTTGGACGTGAACGTAGTGCCGAAGGGTCATTGAGTTTGAGTCCATTGCGAATTGATGATGAAGTTGGACAAAATTATGTCAACCCATTGTCCGCGACAGCTAGTAGTACCAGTAGTGGTGGTGTGACTGTGGAGAATTCCACTGGGTTACAGGTTAATACGGTGACACCCGTGAGAGACTTGTTGATACAGCAATTACAAGGAAATTACGGTGGAGGTAAAGCTGGTGGGTCCGCTTCTCATGAACCATCCCCGACTGAGACGCTAGGACAGCTCGTGACAAAGGCTGATGTTGTCGAGCCTAGAGGGAAATCTTCAGTGCCACATATATCAATAAATGGTGAAGAAATGAACTCTGATGAAAAAGTGACGAGGGCAAGTAGTGCTAATCAAGAAAGTCACCAATCAAACACTGGCTCCAATTCTACCAATAGGAGTCAACGCTCTCTTGATGAGGCAGCAGCAGCAGCTGTGGTTGATGACAACGACGAAGGTGACTTAGCTGACGATGCACACTCACCCATTTCGCCGAGATTGGCACCAATTTCATTTGCTCACAGGAGGAGTAATAGTCGAGGTGCTGAAGATTCTAAAGCGATTGACAATGACTTGCCTTCTACGTCGGCCAGTAAACAACATGAAATTAACCAAAGTGTGCCTCCACTGCCACTACATCATCCTCATCTGCATCCACATGTACCACGTGATGACACGAGGTCTTCTCGATCATCATCGATTTCCACCACCAACTCATTTGAGTTACCCATTGATCAAACGTTGCCATTGCTCAATATGTCAACTAGCTCCATCCAGCCATCACCCAGTAGAATTACGCCCATTGGCAGTTCAATCTCCACCAATAATAATGAGGCGGCGACTGCCAGTGCAATCCCCAATTTCGATTCAGATCAGCTGGAAAATCCATATCTTTACAATGACCGAAACCTTTCTATATCGTCTTCAATTTACGATTTATCGTACCGTCGTGCGAGCCAGCAACCATTAACTGGTATGAAACCCATGGGATTCATTAGTGATTATATCTCGGCTAATGATGATGATTTTTATAAATTGAATAGTCTTCATCATTTGAGAAATCCTAGGATCAAAAAACATTATCAAGATGGAGCACAAAATGAAGTTGGTGGTGATGTCAATGTTACAGGTGTATCTCAACACCACAACTCCACCGCTGGAGCATCACATAACGAAGATGCCACTTATAAATCGAGGCAAAAGAGTTTTGGTGTTGTTGGGACCACCACTGGCAATTTCAATGACGATGACTATGAAGTTGTGGAAGGAGAAGGAGAAGGAGAAGGAGAGGGAGAAGGAGAGGGAGAGGGAGAAGAAGATCAGTCGGGGTCGAGTTTGAGTTCAAATGAAGTATATCGTCAAGGACAAGATCAAAGACGCTTGAGTTCCAAGGACCGTGGTGGTAGTGTAGGTGGAGAAGGCGATCAGGTTACAAAGTTGCATGATGTGCAGGAGATTCCTTCGGGGTTGAAGGTGGGGTATGTGATTGATAGTTGAGGTTTTTGGTGTTATTTTCTGGACGTAACTAAATATTCGGCTACTTTGATTTTTGGTTTTTTTTTTTTTTTCTTTTATAGATACAATGCACAATCAATCCACACTCATGGAGGAAATAGAATGTTCCGAAGAAGGAGGTTTTGAATATGTAGTACTTTTATTTCTTAGTTTGTTCCCTTTTTTTTTATATCCTCTCTATCTATAGTTAGACCACATCATATTTGAAGAGATTTCGTTATATCTCCATACTGATTCTCTCTACTTGGATACTTTAGTATCAACAACGGTTCCATCAGCCTCTTGTTTCAAATCTCCCAACCATTCATACAAGACGGCCAAATCACGATTAGCTATGTCCTCACGTTCACAAGCCTTGTCATACCAGTATCTACCAGCATCACCCAAGAACAAAAATCTTCCTTGGTCCTTGGCGCAATCAGTAGCCAAAACCACATCTTTTCTCGTCAACTTTGTAATGAACCCGCCTTGGTATCCTACATCAGCAGGCAAGTTGTTTTCTGGGTAAACGCCGGGGATGGGGCAGTTGTCGACGGAGGCCCATGACTTACCGGTGGAAACTGCCACCAACTTGGCATAGTTTTGCAAATTGAGACCAAATGCCTTGGCCAATTGGAACGAGTCGGCAACAGCAATGTTTGTTACTGCGAGCAAGTAGTTGTTTGACAACTTGGCGGCTAATCCGGCACCGTGGGTGGCACCACATGGGAAGATGTTTTTACCCATCTTGTTCAACAAGGTGGTCAATGCTGGGGACACGTCCTGGTGGGTTTCTCTACTCAACATGAATGACAATGTTCCCTTTCTGGCACCGGCAACACCTCCACTTACTGGCGCGTCAATAAAGTCAAACTCGGGTAAAGTTTCCTTGACGTACTTGTGCACTTGTCTACTGGTTGCAATGTCAATTGTCGATGAATCGATAATGGTGGTTTTGTAATCGGGGCTGTATCCATTTTGTTCAAAACTAGTGACGATATCTTCAACTACGCCCTTAACGTGTTTTCCCTCGGGGACCATAGTGACGATGAAGTCCAATTGCCCATCCACACCAGTGACAAAGCTCTTCAAGTCGGGTAAAGTAACCAATTTGTCGCTGTTGGTGGCATTTTGTTGCGTAACTGTTGACACGAAATTGTCAACTGATGCGGGGACAGTGTCGTAAACGTACAATTTGTCGTCGACTTCTAATTGGTTGTAAATGTGTCTGGCCATGTGTTGACCCATTTGGCCCAAACCGACGAATCCGTAGTTGGCCAAGACGCGGGAGTTTGTGGAGAATCGACGGATGGCTGATGTGGCTGAGGATGCGGTTACTTTGTACATGGTGGAGGTAATGTGTGGGGTAGGAAACCTTTTTCTGCAAAGAGTATGTTATGAAACGGATGTTGAAATTTTTGTTTTTCTCAAGTAGAGGAATTATGGGACCGTATTTATATGGAGATTGATCTGGCGTTTAATTTCGTGAAAATTTTTTGATTCTATTGTTGTATGTATGTTGAGTTAAAATATATATATATATATCCGCTTGTAAAAGAAGAAGTCGGTTAGTAAAGACAGAAGAAAAAAAAAAAAAATAAAATAACCTTTTCAACTCCACAATTTTATTGAAATTTGATTAATTATGGTTAGATACGGCTCGAGGGGCCAATCCCCTCCTCCCAGTTTATTTTCTCTTTGTCTTTTTTTATTTATTTTTTTATTTTTACCTTATGATGATATGTATATATGTATGTCACTAACATAGGTCATAGTTCTCGTGGTTAGTGTGTGTGTGTGTGTGTGTGTGTGTGTGTTGTTTTGTAATAATTTTGTTTTTCCGGGGTTTGTGTTTCGCTTCTTTCTTTCGTTCCTTCTTTTCTTCCGTAAAACATAATTCCATAAAGAGAGTGAAACAACAGAGACAGAGTATCTCAAAGGACTCGAGTACAGATACTGACCGTAAGGAACAAGTGATTGGGAAGTATAGCCTGCAGCTTCTTCATTGCCTCTTGGAGCGGAACTTGTGGATTCAGTGTTTTCAGTTTTACCCCAGATTATTTGTTATATGTAAATTATTTTTTCTTTTTCTTAACCGCTAACGGCGTTTACATTGCTTGGGAAGAGAGGAATACCCTCGGCTACTCGCGGCGTAGAGGGTAGCGCACACCTGACAACAATACAAAAGTGGGGATCGGATTCCGCCAACATAAGTTGTGATACACAACAAGTAACTTGCACACGACATCTACTGAATGGAAGGGTAATGATTGAATCCTTTTTTTTTTTTTGGACTACTTTGGGCCTACATCGTTTTGGAAAGAGGTAGTAGCCTCAACAAGCGATGCTATTGTTCACAATCCACACTGTCTCGATTGCCAGATTACGAGGAAGAAAATAGGTGGGGGTTCACAAAAATTATTATAATTATATGTTGGTTCTATTATCTTTCTAATATTTTGCTGCAAACCCACTTGAAAGCACTACCATTCAAATTTTGCAACTTGACCTCATCACTATAGGCTGAAACACCCAACTACACTACTAGACGTATCACTTGCAATCTCAGAGCCATCTGGCGATTTCTCGCTTAGCATTTCCCTGACACTATGCAGTTCACTTCCCACAACTGATTTAAGTTTATACCAAATCGGGAATTAGGCGCACCGTATACAACGCCGTACAGGAGATTTACTAGTGCGACATCACTGACAAAGCACATCACACCTCCCCAAATCACCTTTCGGACTTCTTATATACATACATATATATATATATATGCATACAAGTTCTTGGTACAATCAACAATCTAATCAACAATAAACTATTTTCCAATGGTTGACTCAGTCTCATCGCAGTTGCCTCATAGGACAACTTACAATTTGCCGAAACCGAAACCAGCATATTATCCACATCCAGGATCACCGTTGTATGCAGACAAGCCATTCTATGATTCCATAGCCAGAGCTCCCAAAACGCTAGTCAACAAGTACAGATGTGAACCACGCACAGGAATTGCGGTCAAGATCCCTGCAAGATCCGTATTCAGAATTACCACGCCTGATGGTCCCCAAGTGTGTGATTTAAACATTTGGAACTCCCACAATTTCAAAGAACGGTTTTGGGCTGCTCGTACTAGACAATTACACTCGGCTCATGTTTCCACTTATGATCGGTTATGGTCCAACTTGCCCTACTTGCGTCCGTTGGTCACCATCACTGGCGACACCATGTCGGCGAGACATGATGAATGGGGTGGCAGAGTTCACGATACTTTGGGTACACGATGCGACCCCTATGTCGATAAATTGATTAGTGGAGAGGATAATGATAATCATTGCCATTCAAACTTGTACCGTGCTATAAAACCTTATGGGTTGACTGAATTCGATGTCCATGATGTCCTCAATGTGTTTCAAGTTACTGGATTGAATGAATACGATCAGTATTTCATGGAAGCATGTCCTGCTGGCAGCCAAGATTATTTTGAATTGTTTGCCGAATTGGATTTACTCGTGGCCATAAGTGCTTGTCCTGGTGGTGATTTGTCACAATGGGGGTGGGGTGAAACTCAAGGTGATTTAACTGGTCTGAAAATGGTGGATTGTTGTCGTGCTCTTGAAATTGAGGTTTACAAGTTGGATGACGAGAATGCGGTGTTGCAGAATTGGAAACCACCTCAAGTTGTCAATTACACAGGTAATCATGGATTGAAAAAGGAGTAATTACATACATATATGCATATATAAAGGACCCACATACGTAAACTATGTATAATATGAAAGTATTATACCCCATCGATGGAGCTGTGTAGCCAACTGCCCAATTTACGACTAAACTCATCCCCACGTAAAGCTTTCTCAATCGTGTCACCCCTATACTGAACACCGTGCAATTTTTCACTCATTTCATGCAATAACTCAATGTTATCCTGTGAGTCACCATCCCTCACAAACTCAACGGTTTCAATCACACCTTTGTCAACTGTAAATTTGACACAAATGTTTAATGATTCACTCTCAAATGTATGCGTAAACAAGGGAGTACGGCCATACTTCCATTCCCATGATTTCAATTCATTGGCGATCGAAATCACTTCTTTTGGTAATGCAATAGAATCATTAATTTGGAAAACATTAGCTAATTTAGCAGCATGGGCAAAATCACCCAATTTCATCAATTCATTAATCTCATCGAAATCGTCTTCATTTGATTGAGTATCATTACAATTTGGAGTCTCGACCGTAGTAGTCCCCGCTTCATCCAGGATGCCATACTCAAACTTGAACCCACTAGAGACTAGCTCAATAAAGCTCTGCTGTGGAATTTGCAAATTTGTGACTTTGGCCCTAACCGAATCAATGGTTTTACTGGTATCAACAACCCCCAATTGTGTCACATCTCGATGTAGGACTTGTTTCAACCTATCTAAATCCAGATTTAACAACATTGTTCCATGATGATACGACTTTCCTCGTGACAATTTATACGCAGATCCACTAATTTTCAACTCTTGCGCAGTAGAAGCAGCACCAGAAGTAGCACCACCACTGTCGCCATCTTTATCTTGAGTGGTTACTATATCACCACGATGATTCACTTTGATTTTTGTTGATGAAATTTTGGCACCGTTGATCACATCTACAATCAATTGGACAAATTTGAACCTATCAAACTCTTGCTTTGTGGTCATAAATGAGTAATTGACATTACCTAAATCATGTACAACGGTACCCCCACCTGACCTTCTCCTAATCAATGGAATACCAAATTGGCTGTTCATTGTTGGCAAATTCACTTCCTTCCATGGGTTTTGGTTTTTGCCAATCACGACACACGGCGAGTTTGTATAAAACATGAGCCTATGTGCTTTGAACGGAAAAGACTTGGAAATGGGTATTTTGTTGTATACGTAGTCTTCAATTGCCAAATTCAAGTATGGATCAGTGAGTTTCGATATGAAAATTGCCGGTACATTCGTTGTGGCAACAGATTCAAGTGGCTCAAGCTGTGAGCTGCTATCACTTTGCCGCTTCAGCACTTCTTCGTCTTGCAATACGCTCTTTATTTGGTTCCTCTTGTATTCTGCAACTTCGGGGGACTCCTTGTAGTGTCGAAAATCACCGAGACCAAATTCATCCATATCAAAATCGGTCAAGTCATCTTGAAATGGGGAGCCTGTGTTGGATAAGTAGCGTTTGTGATGGGTCCCTTGTTGCTTGAATAGTCCAACCACCAGACGAACTCTGCTTACCACTGTTCGATATGGTGTCATATAAGCATAGATGACTTTTGTTGTTGCAATGCAGAGATAGTCATCTCTGAGATGGAACGAAAAATTTAGAACAAAACACGAAATTCCCCGTAGTTAACCTAACCAAATTTTCACCACCTTGACCTTATCTCTCCGCCTATATAATGACTAGTACTAACGAATTAGAGAAACGACTACTTACAAGATGCTACGACTCCAATGAGGAAATACTCAATATACTATCAACGCGTTACTCGACCGATGGAGAGCAAAAACCAACCATTTTATTCAAACGTGTCAAGAAACCAACCAAGAGTAACAATCGAAAATCCATCTTGTTAACGCCTTCCTCAGCCAACGACAAGGTCCCTTCAAGCAGGAAACGATCAACTAGAAACGAACTCAAACAGTACATTAATGCAACAATAACTAATCAACGCAAACTCATCAAGAAAATCAGAGGTTATAAGCGTGCCAAACAGCCGTTTAGCGTGGAGCCCATGCTTGACCAATACAAGGTTCCTAAATTTGAGGAGTATGTCAAAATGAACGATATGTGGCAAAGCTATATCCAGGACCTACTTGGTTTAAATGCATCCAACAAACCTCTAAACACATCGGTGATGTTGCCTAAATTGGTCAATGCTGATTTCAATGGGTGTTTATTAACAGTATTACAATCACGAAACCAAAATGTCGTTGGTGCAAGAGGAATAGTGGTATGGGATTGCCAGCATTCTTTTATAATGGTTGTACCACGAGGAAATGATTACAAAGAGTGGACACAGCAAGTTCCTGTTGATAATGCTGGATTGTCGCAAAAGTTGGATCCGGCGGCCCTAGTTGGTGGCTTGAAGGTTATTCCTAAACAATACACGTTGTTTGGATTTGATGTTTTGTTGCCGAGTAAGCGAGATGACCACAAGGGAGAGGAAATGGAGGTGGATAATGACGCTAATGAAAAAGAGGAGGAGACGAATAGTAGTGAGGAGAGTATTGGATTCACCTTGATTGGATCAAGATTCGAGATACGAAGTGTTGAAAGATCAGCTAAAAAGTTTAAAAACCATTCCGTTGATGACCTACTATAACGAATCCATTTTCTTCACCTTAATACATTCGGCTCTTGATTGTGTTTAATTGCAATTTCAAAGCTTCGCTTTTCGTAGACTGTAGAATTTTATCAATCTTGGACTCGGCATTAGCCCTTTCATGCTCTTGCAATTGTCGATTTGGTAAGTTTAGAATGTAGCCGATTTCATTGATAACATCTTGCTTATCTACTACATCGTCCCGTACGTTTCCACCCCCATTCGTTGATTCGTTGTATATCCCAGCCACGCTTGCATTCGACTCAGCACGATCAGCATACCGATTTAATCGATTTAGCACCTTATTGAACCCACCAGTAGTGAATTTCTTGATTGTAGTTTGGTTAAAATTGGATAAGTCGTTCAATACCTCATCCAAATAAGCATCAACTGACACCTGACTAGATCCCTCCGCATCATTGCTTGAAGGTTGATTAAAGATTTTAAACCCACTTAGCGAATCAATCTTCTGTAAGTCTTGCTGAGTTGCAATGTTTGCAATCAGCTTGTTTGACTCTGATAAATCCCCCAACATGTTGCTCAACTTGATGAGTTCATAGTAGTTGTCGTAAATTATCTCCTTCTTCTTCTGGCTCGAGGAGCTTAGTTGCAGTTGGATCTTGTTGCGGAGTTTGAGTATGTCTTTTGTGGACGATGTTTTGATGAATTTCTCCACATCTTCAGCTGTTTTTAAATCAGATGGTTCAACTTCCGACTTGGTTGGTTTAGTATCTGTATTTAACACGTTATCTTTATCCAGCTTATCTTTATCATTTTGCTCTTGATTAGACTCTGATTGCTGTTGTTGCAAATGGTAAAACTCCTGCAACGCTTTACGTCGCGACGACACTTTTCTAGGTTGAGAAGTGTGTGGTGGTAATTGGGGTGATGAAGTGTTTGATGGTGTTGCCGATACACTGGGTGAAAAACTGGTTCTTGGAGTAAGTGTTGCTGATGATGTTGATGCGGCTGTGGCTGTGGCTGTGGCTGCCTGGTCTTTGCTTGGTTTTTTGTAGGATAGTATAGGAGACTGCGTCATATTTCCACTGTTGAAAGAGTGTCCAATCAGCAATTGAAAGCAGGGGAAGATAATCAAAGTACTCCTAGTGTTGTATTTTTGAGTATCTTCTGGTAAAAGAATGTCAAAGAATTTCTCACAGCAATTGCATCGAATATTCCATTCACTTCAATGCCGATAAACTTCCTCCCCCTCCCCCTCTCTTGGGACACAGCAACCATATTACTAATTCAACAAATGAGAGAATAGAAGAGATATACATTAAACAAAAAGATCCTAGATATTCTTCCCAATCTTCAACCTTTATACCAATTCCATTCAGATATGCAATTGAAACAATACTCAGCCGATACCCCTCGTCAAACTTTATTAGCAGACGCTGAACAAATCTTGAAATCAATTCCCAAGTGGGAAACAGGCAAGACGCACTACGAGCATACCAAAAATGCCACGAAAACCTTTCATGATACTATTGGTGATAATTACTGGTGTGCTAGGCACAGCGTCTTGAAAGATCTCCCCTTAGACAAGTTCAAAACTGCAATTATCGGCACCACTGAAGTTGGTTTCACTCATTCGGACCATGAACTTCATTACGTACATGAAATTGAGCTGGTGGAAGTACGTAATGTCAAGAAGTATGATGACAACGGGTGGAGCTACACCATCCATGCTGTCTACAACTTTGGATTCCCTTTGAACAAAAGACTGTTTAATGAGTTGGTTCACGTGTTTGTTTCAAATGATAAGGCGTTGGTGGTTAGTGTTCCAATTGCAGGGGAAGTTGAGGGTGTGTTGGGGAGTTATGTATCAGTTGAGGAAATTAAGTGGGATGGAGACACTGTTGAATGGACTATGGCTACAACTTCAAAAGCAGGTGGTAACATCCCTGACTGGGTTACTAAATTGAGTATTGGAGGTGCTATCGCGAAGGATGTTCCCAATGTAATTGCTTATATCGAAAGCAATGAGTACTTGGTTCATGTTGGCTGATGTTGATTGAGCTTGTCTTTGGTGCTGTGTCATCTACTTAGAGAAAAGCATCGTCTGTTCTGTTATATAGAAACACCCTTTACTTGCTTAATAAACACAATCTTTTATAGTAGTAGTAAGAGCATAATTTGTCCTATCCACATGTAAATTACAACACTATCCAACGACGACAGATGATGTTCTGAAAAAGCAGAAGAAGAAGAAGAAGAGGAAAAAAAAAAAAAAAATTGTTCTGAAAAATCCAATACTCCATTTCTGGTGAGTCTTCTTTTTCAAAGGAAAGCTTTTCAAATCTATAGTTGAATTTACTTCACAGTTGTATGATCAGAAGGACATTCACTAGAATAATGTCTACTACAACCGCCATCTACAGCTCTGAGCAATGGACTGCTCCCAAAGTTAGATCCACTTTTTTGGACTATTTCAAAGATAAGAGACAACATTCCTATGTTCCATCATCATCAGTTGTTCCTCACAATGATCCCACTTTATTATTTGCCAACGCTGGTATGAACCAATATAAACCAATCTTTTTGGGTACTGTTGATCCAGCTAGTGATTTTGCCAAATTGAAAAGAGCCGCCAACTCTCAAAAATGTATTAGAGCTGGTGGTAAACACAATGATTTGGAGGATGTAGGTAGAGACTCATATCACCACACTTTTTTCGAAATGCTTGGTAACTGGTCATTTGGAGACTATTTCAAAAAGGAAGCCATTGCCTGGTCTTGGGAATTATTGACCCAAGTTTATGGTTTGGAAAAGGATAGATTGTATGTTACGTACTTTGGTGGTGACGCAAAACAAGGATTGGAAGCTGATTTGGAAGCCAAACAATTTTGGTTGGAAGTTGGAGTTGCCGAAGACCATATCTTACCAGGTGATGCAAAGGACAATTTCTGGGAAATGGGTGATCAAGGTCCTTGTGGTCCTTGTTCAGAGATCCATTATGATAGAATAGGTGGCAGAAATGCTGCTTCACTTGTGAATATGGATGATCCCAATGTGTTGGAAGTTTGGAACATTGTGTTTATTCAATACAACCGCGAGGCGGATGGATCATTGAGGCCATTGCCAAACAAGCATATTGATACTGGTATGGGATTTGAGAGATTGGTCTCAATCTTGCAAAACAAGTATTCCAACTACGACACTGATGTGTTTTTGCCAATTTTTGAAAAGATCAGAGAAATCACTGGTGTTAGACCATACACTGGTAAATTTGGAGCAGACGATAAAGATGGTATCGATACTGCATACAGAGTTATTGCTGATCACGTGAGAACTCTTACTTTTGCCATTTGTGATGGAGGTGTTCCAAATAATGAAGGTAGAGGCTATGTCTTGAGAAGGGTTTTGAGAAGAGGATCACGTTATGTTCGTAAGTACATGAACTACCCAATTGGATCTTTTTTCTCACAATTGGTTGATGTTGTTATTGACCAGAATAAAGAAATATTCCCAGAAATCGAATCTGGATCGCAAGATTTGAAGGAGATTTTGAACGAGGAGGAGTTGTCATTTGCAAAGACTTTAGACCGTGGTGAGAAGTTGTTTGAACAATATGCCATTATTGCTTCAAAAACCCCTGAGCAAACGTTGTCAGGTAAGGATGTATGGAGATTGTACGACACTTATGGATTCCCGGTCGATTTGACTAGATTGATGGCAGAGGAAGCAGGGTTGAAAATTGATGAGGAAGGCTTTGAAGTGGCCAAGGAAGAATCTAGGGAAGCTTCTAAAGGTGGAGCCAATAAAAGCGCATCTTCATTGGTCAAGTTAGATGTGCATGCTTTGTCTGAACTCGAGGGTAAAGTTGCCAAGACCGACGACAGTGCCAAGTACGGACTTGATAACATCAAAGCTAAAGTTTTGGCCATTTACGATGGTAGCTCCTTTGTTGATTCCATCCAACAAACTGAAGAAGGCAAGCAGTATGGTATCTTGTTGGACAAAACGCCCTTCTATGCCGAACAAGGGGGCCAAGAGTACGACACTGGTAAACTTGTTATTGATGGTAAGACTGAATTTAACGTCGAAAATGTACAGGTTTATGCTGGGTATGTATTGCACACTGGATTTGTTCTTGAAGGTAGCTTGAGTGTTGGTGATGAAGTGATTGCTGCTTATGACGAGTTGAGAAGATGGCCCATTAGAAATAACCACACTGGTACTCACGTGTTGAATTATGCCTTGAGAGAAGTTCTTGGCGATGATGTTGATCAAAAGGGTTCTCTTGTTGCCAAGGAAAAGTTGAGGTTTGATTTCAGTCATAAACAAGCTTTGACACCAAAGGAATTGGAGAAAGTTGAAGACATCTCCAACCAATACATTAGAGATAACAAGCAAGTTTATTACAAGGATGTGCCATTAGCTGAAGCCAAAGCAATCAATGGATTGAGAGCTGTATTTGGAGAAACCTATCCTGATCCAGTGCGTGTTGTGTCAATTGGCGTTCCAGTTGAGGATTTACTTCAAGACCCCGAAAATAAAGAATGGAGATCATTATCGATTGAGTTCTGTGGTGGTACACACGTTTCCAAGACTAGTGACATCAAAGACTTGGTTATTATTGAAGAATCTGGTATTGCCAAAGGTATAAGAAGAATTGTTGCTGTTACTGGCCACGATGCACACGCTGTGCAAAAAGTTGCCAAAGAGTTTGGCGAGGAGTTGGATCATGCTAATGCATTACCTAATGGACCAGTAAAGGAAAACAAGGTTAAGGAATTGGGGGTTGCTTTGAAGAAATTGTCAATTTCAGTATTGGATAAGCAAAAATTGACTGAAAAGTTCAACAAGGTTGATAAATCAATCAAGGATCATCAAAAGAGCATACAAAAGGAGGAAAGTAAAAAGACTCTTGACGTGGTGAAGAAATGGCTTGATGGAGATGCCGACAACAAGTCTGACTTTTTGGTTGCTCACGTTCCAATCAATGCTAATGCTAAAGCTATCACTGAAGCTTTCAATTTGGTCAAGAAACAAGACAAGACCAAGTCATTGTACTTGTTGACGGGACAAGACGACAAAGTTGCTCATGGATGTTATGTTAGTGATGAAGCAATCGCCAAAGGTGTTGACGCTAGTCAGTTGGCCAAATTGGTTAGTGGCAAGATTGGTGGTAAGGCAGGTGGTAAAGGAAACATTGTCCAAGGTATGGGTGACAAACCAAGCGGAATTGAAGATGCCATTGAGGAAGTCACGAAAGCATTCAAAGAGAAATTGTAAGGCTTCTTTAATAGTGATATATATATATACACGACCTCTGTTTATAATATACACAGTATTTACAATTTTGTTCAAATGAGGGCAGCTTCTTCAAAAGGATCTTGTTGTTGTCCTTGCAATTGCTGCTTTTCAGTCTCTCTTTCACTCTCTTTCAATTGTTTGATGATATCCAATCTCTTTTTGACTCCGGCTTCGGCTGCTTTGGACATGATTCCAAGCATCAAGTTAACCGACCGGACATTTTCATCATTGCAAGGAATTGGATACGTGATCAAACTAGGCTCCATATCAGTATCACAGAGCGCAATAGTTGGAATGCAAGCTGATAAACATTCTTTAATACAGTTTCTATTCTCGACTGGATTCAACAAAATCACCAAATCTGGCTTGATGATTGAGTTCGAAGTCACTTGGGAGTTGATTGGCTTGTTTTCCATGTCAATCTGCTGTTTCATCGAAGGGTCCTTGATTTGTCTTGAAACTTCAATGTAATTGGTGATTGTACCTGGTATCCATCTCTTTGAGACATAGTAACCCTTGGATCTATCTGCTGCCGCAACTAATGACTCCTGAATGGACCAGTTCTTGTGAGTACCGACAAATAGTATGACACCACCTTTTTCACTAACACCTTCAATCACTTTGCATGCAGTTTGCAATTGAGAAATGGTTTGATTTAAATCAATCAAATGGATCCCGTTGTAAGTTCCGTATACAAATGGTTGGAAATTGGATCTGAATGAAGAGGTGGCGTGACCAAGATGACAGCCGGCGGCCATCAAGTTGGAAATGGTGGTTTGGTTGATACTTGGGGGATGTGATGTGTCTCTTTGTGGCTTGTATATGTTTTCAAGTTTGGAACCTAATGCCCCACTGGTTCTAAGATGATTGAGCAGTCTCAAATAAAGCTCTTGTTCGGAGTAATCTTTGTAATCGGGAGTGGGCTTCAAATTGGGGAATTGTGCAGTGTATTGACTGGTCATTGATGAAGCCTTCGCCTTTGAATCGTCATTTTTGGAGCTTTTGTTGCCACCACCAATTCTGTTGTTCTTCTGAGCCCAGGGTCTGTTTGCAGTAACATCATCAGTTAAATGCATATTGTTTGTCATGTATTCTCGTAACTCCTCGTCAAGTTGTTTGATTTTCTCCTTGGGGATTTTGGAAATATCGGTATTCAATTTAGCTATACGTTCACTCATCAAGTTAGTTGGAGTCTTGTTCAACACATTGATGAGTTCTTTGGACTTCTCAGTCAATTCCCGAATCTGTTTTGACTTTTGAATGGCTTCTTCTTCCCTAGCTAGAGCTTCGGCTATTGCTTGTTCTCGCAATTCCTTGTGAGATAACGTATGTTCGAGATTGGGTTCAGTAGGCGACGTGTTCTGAAGTGTGGGCTCAGCGTAGTATCTGACTAGTGACCTCCTAAGGGGTCTACCAAAGGACGTCCTGAGCATGGTGAATGAGGTTAAACTAACTGCTTCACAATGGTTGACGTCTGGAAAAGAGAAATGAAAAATGAAAAATTTTTGGTGATAATTTTCGTTTTTTTTTTTTCTTTTTTTTTTCTTTCATCCACAAAGACACCTGCAAGTTCGAGGATAACTTTGTAAATGTGACGTGGAGATGTATCTACAGAAGACTGTGTTAACAATGCAGCACTATGCCTCGGACAAAATACATTACAAGCTTGCTCTAAATACATGGCTAATCGATTTTTTTTCTTCCCACTTACATGATCTTTTTACTTGGCATCTTTTTCCTCATCAACTTGTACTTCACTCAGATCTACTTCCCCATCATCGACATCGCCATCATTACCAATATCTGATTGCAATGAGCTAAAATCGAATCCTCCTGGGCCACCAGCACCTCCAGCGCCTCCAGCTTGTCCCAATTGACTTGCTAAAGCGCTCAAATCTGGAGTTCCTCCTGCGCCTCCACCCATTCCACCTAAAAGTTGAGAGAAGTCCATTCCTCCTGGACCTCCAGCACCACCCATACCTGGCATACCGCCCATCAAATTGGCATCGTCATCTTTAACTTCGTCTTGCTCATCTTCATCTACCCATTTATCGAAATCTGTTTTGATGTAATGGTACTTCAATTTCTCTTTGGTCAATCGTGGCCAGTACTCTTCTTGCAACTTCTTTTTCGATAATACAAAGAACAAGTGGGAACCATTCTCGGTATTGATTTTGGATTTTTCTGGATCTATTTCATCATAGAAATCAATCTTCAACTCGTAATGAGTGCTTTCATAAGTGGATGAGTCAGCCTTAACGGTAAGGTAGGTTGGTTTCAAATCAATGTGCAAATCTTTTGGATCGGTGATTTGAACAGTTAAAAGAATGACATTCTTGTCTGCATCAGAATCACTTGAACGTTGAGCCCATAAAACGGTTGGGGTGTGTGTTTTAGAAGACATGATTTGAGTGTATTTCAATTGAGTTTAATACTTGATACGGCGTGATTGCTTAGACTTCAAACTCAGTTGGTTGTAGAAATTTAGATAAATGCAATGTGTGTGTGTGTGTGTGTGTGAGTTGTTCTCTTTATTAACCAACGCTTCCCTCATTCTTTTGCCTTCTCGAACATTCTTACACTATATGCAGGACCACGTCATATAAGTGATTCTTTTCTGTAAACCCCAAATATTCCATCCAAAAAAAATGATTGTCCTTTCTTTTCTACTTCATTAAACTCTGGCAAGGTAAGAGTATCCCAATGAATGTAAAGTAGCAAAAAGAAAGCATCCATCTACAACTAAATTCATATATTGCTTTGGAAGTTCAATGAGAGCGGCTCGCACTCACATGCTCTTTACCCAATTGTGAGGGAATTTTTTTTTTTTTTTTTTTTTGCAACAATTTCTTTGTCAAAATTCATTTATCAAAATGGATAAAAGGTGAGTGAATGAACTTTCGGAGATTTTGGAGATTGGAGCTAGTCCTTTTGTAATGTGACACGGACCATTTTTGCAAATGCAGTTTGTATCCGATATATATACAACGATATTATTAAGAATGGATATCGATTTACCGAAGCTACTTAAATAAATCTGACGATACCGAAAATTAATAATACAAGCTTTGAACGCATGAAAAAAGAAAAAGGGGCCTAGTGCAAAGGTGACACATCTCAGTTTTTCCCACTGAATTAAGAAGTTGGGACAGATGGGAAAGTTGGTGGGTTTTGGCAAACACATTTTTGTGGAATGTTCTTGTTTGGAACATTACTCTTGTTTTGAACAGAACCCAATTGAGTTGAAAAATACAACCGTCTCCTTGAGTTGAAGTAATATTTTCGGTTCTTACTTTATTTATTAATTGACACCTTTTTTTTTCGTTTGTATTGATTAAATAAGTTATCAATTGTAATAGTGACTATTGTGAGACAGAGTGAAATCGTAGTGAATCTATCAAAAGGAAGACAGTATAACCAGTCGGAAAGAGTAGCAGGATGACGCTGAGTTTTTTTAAACTACTTACCTATTTAGCTTTGCCAACATGAAGAATCCTTCAAATGAATGGATCATATGCCCATTGCAACAACGCTTGACGTTGCTTGGGACGACAACTATAATCCTTCTTGGCACAGTTCTTCTCAATCTGGCCCTTGTGGCGCTTGAATGCTCTCCACCGTTTCTTTTGAAACTCGTCACATTCACTTCGTCTTCCTAGCCAGTATCGACAATACCACTGGAACCACCCGCGAGGATCATCACCCATGACCCAATCATTCTCGCGCCAAATCACCAACGACTGGCGACTCTTTATTTTGAATCGATTCAATTTGAAATCTGGCGGCTGGCCGATCTTGACTCGTTTATCTCGTGAATTGTCAAACCATTCTTTGGGGAACTCGTCTTGACAATCATTGAGGTATTTGCCTTCAAAGACTCCTTCTTGTAGCATTTCCTCTGGCGTTAATTCAGGGTTGAAGTTGTTGTCGTTGAAGTCGGGAGCTTCTTCACCCATTGGCTCAACGAGTTCGTACTCGTAATCCTTTTGCATCCTATCGTTTACGGTGATTTTCATACCCACCTTGTAATCTTTTAGACTCCTCATGCTGAAATACCGTCTGAGATGCCGGGTGGACAATCTATTCATAAAATAGAAGCAGAAATGACTTGATCTTTTGGATTTAGGTCTCGGATTTATCGAATAGCAATCCAACTCCAAAATACACAGAGTGCGGAGATTGCTAAAAGAGAGGGAAAATGTCACACAAAATTGGTTAGACTATGGAAGATGATGATGATGATGATGATCCAAATCTTACAAGAAAGAAATTCGAAAGTCAGATACACCACACCATCGCAATGGTTTCAATTTCGTAGCAATACAACGACACCTATTTTCAAGAGCTTGTTAATGCTACGAAGCGCCCACTGTAGTCACGAGCTGCTTTCACAACTATAAACATTGAATGCTTTATTGCATTGCAATCTAATAGTCATCACCACGAGTGACAACCTCCTTCTTATGGGGGTGTAACAATATGGTGTGCTCGAATTGAGCAGTGTAACTACCAAATTTATCAGCAATAGGCGGATAAGCTTCAACAACGCCTGCCCTGACCAATTGATTCAAAGCCAACAAGTACTTATCTTCACCGGTACGCTCCAAGTATCTCCTACACCAGGGCAATGTTCCAAAATTCTCCTGTATCGAGTTCAATAATGACTTGCATCTCTCCGAAGGTACTCTAATTCCATCAATGTTTTGATTCAATGCATAATGTGAGCATTCTCCTTCTGCCACCACGTATCCGTTACCAGTTGAGCCAAATGTTTCAACGGCAAACGTTTCACCTTCTTCCATCTTGGTATTGTCGCCATTTGCAATGATGGGAACATTCTTGCCATAATGAATGACATAGTCACCAATATTGTGTCCATTAAGGTTGCGAATACACTTGATTGGGTAAGTTTTACCATTTTCTTCCATTTCATAACTCTCCATGACTTCTTGTATAGCAGCACCAATGTCATTCATTCTGACATCAATCCCAGCTTCTTTGACACCGGTGTTTGTGGCTTCTCTAACTGCTTGCATTATAGCATCGTACTTGCCATCTTCATTGAAAGTCATTGTAAATGCAGAGTCACAGATACGACCATTGACATGAACACCAATATCAACCTTCATTATATCATCTTTTCCCAATACCAACTTATCCCCTGTGTTTGGAGTATAATGGGCTGCCACATGATTTAGTGATAGACCGGTAGGAAACCCAATACCTGCCTTTTTCGTATGGTCGGCATTAGCATATGCTCTTACTGAATTTTCAATCAAGTCGGCGATTTCAGTCATTGACATTCCAGGTCTAATTGACGACTTGGCTTTAGCACGAACACGACGGTGGATTTCGGCTCCCTTTCTAAAGTCTTCCCATTTGTTATTCTGTTGTCTATCCAAATACCTCAACTCTTCTGAAGTTGTTCTATGCTTGTTTGAATCCAATGGATACTCCATCCATTCACCTTCTGGGAAAATATCATCTGGGTATGATTGGTCAATGGCAACCAACTTCTTTTTTTTCTTACCACTCTTCTTCTTCTTTTTCTTCTTGTCGGAGGAAGCATTGGAAGAGCTGTTTGCAGGTGTATCTTCTTGATCCTCATCATCATCGTCATCATTCTCAGCGCTTTTTGATTTCAAGTCGCTTGATGTGGCGGAGTCCTGATTGGGAAATAAAGCATTGTTCAAGTTGAGATCTTTGGTTTTGGATTCGAGCTCATCAACCTCCTTAGCTCGAATGGTTGACATATTTTGTAGTCTTGTTGTTAAAGGGCTGGCAAGGTAAAAAGCGTGGACTATATTGCTCGGAATTTAGAGAAGGAGAATGAGAGAGACAGAGAGAGAGATGCAAAGAAAGGATTTTCCAGAATATTGTGGTCAAATGCACGACCTCATGAGGTGGCTGCAAACAATACCAACAACAAGTTAACCAATACATTGAAGAGTAGTATTAAGAGCATCCTCTTGGAATTAAACGAATTGTAAATTGAGATGAGAATAACGCACTACTCAAATCTACGTGCAACCTTCCCAAAAATATTGCAAAATCTATCCTAAAGATCCTTATTCGTGGAGTCCGACCCGTGCTCTTGATACAAGACCTTATTGAAATTCATGATTTTCCCATCGAGTCGCTTGCTTAAGGGTGTTTGCCCCAGCGATGAGCCAGTACCAGTACCAGCACCACCAGTTCCATTCAACAAGTTATTAAAGTCTGGTGTTCTTAATATATTCTTGTTGTTCATGGCATTTCCTGGGGAAGGGGTAAAGAAATTCACATAGTCATTCATGTTGAATCCGTTGGGCGTCAATGTCAACCCTGACGAAGGGAGATTGGAGGAAAGATTGTTCAAGAATGGAGTCAACCTGTTTTGTGGTGTTCTGGTGTGTTGATGGTGTTGAGTGGTTACTCGTTTGGGTGTAACTGGCGGTTGTGGTACAGCAAATGATGATGCACTCAGCAGCTGTTGTTGCTGCTGTGGTTGTGGGTTCAAGCTATTGTAGCCGCTTCTGCTGTTGCTTTCTTTTGGACTTGAATGAGAAGGAGGAACATTGATCGAAACTCTTGGTTTATACGTCTTGGCAGGACTGGGAGATGTAGCTAGATATATGAGAAGATCGGCTCCTTCTGTATCAGGAGCGGGTGTCTTTGCAACCTCAAAGTCTGCTTCATTATTGTCTCTCGATTTGGTTGTTTTGCTATTTCTCCTTGAGTCCTGTCTCGATGGGGTTGTGCTCATATCCAATGAAGGTTTCAAGACTTGCTTTTGTGGTTCGCCATTGTCATTTTCAGGACCGATTCCATTTCCAGATGGAGTAAGCTCAGCTAGCACCATTTTGCTTGGAGACAAGGTTGTCCTTCTTTTTTTGGTAGGTGAGTCATTTAATTCATCATTACTGTCTCCATTTGCAACGTTTTTCAAAGGAGACGACGACAAAAAAGTAGCTGCTGCTGTCTTTATATGCGTGGGTGATTTCCCATTGGGTGAATAAATGTTGGGAGACGACGATAAAAACGAATCATGTGCATGTGCGTGTGCGTCTCTGTTTTGTTGTGTATTTGCATTTATATAACCTCTCAAAGGTGATGACTTGGGTACCGAGGGAGCCATTGTTTTCATATTAGTAGGTGACAAGGACTGTTTGGCAGTTATACTTGCCTTTGATAGTTTCTTTTTCAACTGACGAGCAATCTTCTCCAATTCTTCCTTCTTTAAGGGAGTCTTGACTTTTTGTCCACCGGAAGTGGCTGATGTGGCAGTAGTAGCTGTTGACATTGTGCCAAATGTTGTTCTAGTGGGTGACGATGAAGACGATGAGCTGCTGGTAGTCAGTAGATCGTTATCTTTTGAATGCATGAAACAGGGAATATATCACAACACAGTGGTGTGATTCTACCAAAGATGGTACTAATATATGTAGGCTGCGTCTTTGGATGGAATTGCGGTTGCCGGCGTTCTGCAAGATGGTATCCCTCTTTTGAAGACGTGTTTTGCGAGGAGCGGAAATTGTGTAAACTTTTCTTCAATAGCAAAAAGTTGAATAGAGTGTTGATAACTGTGAAATCCTGGTGTGTGTTGATTTCTCTCTACCTGTCGTCTTGATATAGCAAGTACCCTCTGTATTAATTGTAGAACAGTATGGTGTGTCTACTCTTTGAAATAAAAGCACTCTTGAAGAAAGTTTAAAAAGAAAGAAAATTGATATAGGGTGGTCAGCGTCTAATTTCTTTTTTTTTTTTTTTTTTTTTTTTCCTTTGCTCTAAAAAGCAAAATGGATGGAATGAATTATTAAGTTCGAAAACACTAGGCTCGTTGTATATGGTTTTTGTTGTGGGTATTTTTGTATACTTTATGGACGACGTTGATATACGTAGAGGAACCAGTTAAGTGGAGATCTATTTGTATACAGTTTGTAAAGCAAAGCTAAAATGTAAGCTGAAAGGAGTAGGATAATGTATTACGCGTGAGCTCAATTTATCCCAATTGGGAAATCATATTAGAACTGAAATGCAACTGGTAGCGTCATAAATCCATCATCCACATTATAACAAAACACTATACCTTTCACTAAAGTATATTGAGCTCTTGAAATTGTACACATGCATACCGAGCTCACGAGCACCAGATCTATAAACCAAACGCAATGATAAAACGGAAATACCACTGTGTGACTACTATATACAAAAGTTGCACTTGTGTACAAAGGGTGTAATGATTAAGTCTCTTGCCATTGAACGACCGACACTCCCAAGAACTTGTCAATAGACTTCAGCTTGCAGTACAGACTCATTCACAGAGTATCTGACCATCTCTCT